CCGAGGATACCGAGTTGACGGATGATGTGAATGGCACCCTTTGGAACAGCACCTTCCACTTTGGCAGCTTCGCCTTGTACTTGGAGTCGAATCTTACTGTATGAAACACTTCAGTTTCCATCAAGCTGTTACGTCAATGGATGACACCTACACAATCTCCAGTGGGTTTGTAAACACCTGAAATAAAAGGAGTGGTGGTTATGTTTAAACTGTGATCGATAAGAGGAAATAGGTATCGGTACGCACAACTTGACATCCACCGGCGGCACCACCAGCGATCAACTCCCAGAAGACCTTGATGCGACCGGTCTCTGGGTCCATCGCTCGTCCTCGAATCAAATCATTGACGGTCAGTTTGATGGCTTTCTCAGGCGCTACACCCTAATAACCCCGTGAATATGAAAATCACACTCATCATACATTTCCCCCTGAAGAGCACTTACGACTAGTTGGGGACCAAGGCCCCTGTAAAAGCCCAAAAAGCCCTCATTTCTGAGAATCTTCTTGGCACAATCGATGCTGTTCTTATAAAGCAGTTGACCGACAACGGTCGAACGTTGGTTTTGCATCCTATAAAAGTATTGGTTGAGTATGCATGCGATCGCTAGTCATGAAAGGCTTGTTACCGTGTCTAGGTGGACGGATATACGATCAGAATCTGGCAGCACTGCAAACGGTCTGGGAAAAGGAAACACACCTTGACTGATAGGGAGAAATTACGACATAAGTACATATTCACGTCTCAAAGAAGAACAAGGACTTACCCATATCAATAGGGTATACAATGGTCGCACCGACAGCACCAGCAATACCTGTCAAAGAGAATTTTAACACTTAAAAAAAGGCAACACGATATTTTCAACATACCACCCAATCCGAAATTGTACGCAGAATGTGCAATATTATTCAACACTGAGGTCTTGACAGGGGGCTTTTCGCGAAGGGCCTCATGGGGTGGCCTCCACCTTGGGTCAAGAAGTTGAGCGAAGTCAATCAGGGCCAGTCGTTGCGTCGCAACACCACGGCCGGCAAAGTGGAAGATGATGTTTGCCTCCATGGGTGTAAACAGGGAGTAACGAGAGTTGGATGCGGCATAGTTGAGGAAGTCTGTTTGGTCAATTCTACCGTCTTTGCTCTTTGCGGTAGCTTCCCGGATGATCCTTTCGACCATGTCCATTTCTAAAGTTGACATGAATAAACGCGCGCTTATGGGTGTACACAGAAGCACAAACCTCTAATGACATTATAGAAGGCGACAACTTCCGAATATGATATACGTTGACCGGGACTCAAAGTGCAAAGGGTGGGCAGGCGATCTATGACAGCTTCTGATAGTTTATGGCCAGCAATTTCCTATGGAAGGGCAGATCAGCACGCGTCGTCTCGAGATCGACTGGTCGGCGCACTAAGATGATCCGTTTAAATTCGTCAGGTCTAATAAATCCGTCTTGATCCTTGTCTAGGTATTGGAAAGCTTGACGCAGTCGCTCGCCCTGCAAGCCTTTCATAAGCTGCGTAAACTCATTATCTATAGGCAATAAACTATGAGATTTAAAATTTCCCCTCAAATCAAGGCACACTTACATCCCAACACATGTTGGCCATTTTTCGTGCCAAGGTATAATTTGACCCAATCGCTTTAGTGAATGTTAGCCGATAGATAGAATGTAGGAGGCTGTAGTGCGGCCTACCAATCGAAGTCAAAAGGGATGGCGTCCGGACCGAGATTAGCAGAAAATACAGATTTGAACTCATTATAATCGATGTAGCCAGAGTGGTCGCTGAGAGAGAGAACGAGTCACCTGACATTAGGGGGTGGAATAAAAATAGAACAAGGATTGCCAACGCACACATCGAAGTATTGGAAAGCCATCCAATAATCGGCGTCGGGTCGCTTGAGAAGGGTCTGGAAGACAGTAAAGTCCTCCCATGAAACAAGACCGCGCCGTGTTGTGTCGGCGATACGGAATAGAATGGCATATTGTTCCCGTCCAATCTTTACGAGGTCGCCACTGGGTGCAACAGCGTTGACAAAACTCTCTGGGTCGAGGAATCTATGAGGTTATGAAGTGAAAAAGCAAATTATGTTAGTATGGATCTGTAGTGATTTAGAGCGCTCGTTCCGATGAAATAAGGCAACAAAAGATTATTCTATTATGGAGGCCATAGGTCCCGTTGATTCATAAATAGCAGCATGCCAAAACAGACGCACGACCAATGACAAAAACAGGGTTCTTGTCGTCATTCGAGAGGATGAGAAGCAACAATGGGATGAAATGGACGATACGCGGGCATGTGACTGTAGAAATGGTTGGTTGATACTCACTTCTCGCCATTCACCTCCTTTGAATTGTTATCGAATGTTCGCCTCCATCTCTTTAGCTCGTTTTCAGGGACAGCAACAGCAGTTCTAACTGTCTGAAGAGCCGCTGCTTTCAACGTTGACCTTGCACCTTCCTGGGTCTCGGGTGAATCTGCATGAATTGTCGGGAATACGCGGGACCAGATGGATGTCATGGTTCAAGTTGTTGTCCTTCTGCTCTCCTAAAGAAAAGATGTAGGAAAGTAAAAAAAGGGTATCGAGTAGTTAGAGAGAGAATAGATGCAAAGGAAAGAATGAAAGGGGGATGGATGGGATTCAAGGTATTAAGCCGACTATCCACTTCAATTTCACTAAACGCGTTTCAAAATTTTTATTCTTGCGGGGTTAACATTCCCCGCTTTGGTCAATATCATCCTTCAATCGATACCTCCGATTTATCCGGCCTCACTCCGGATTTCTAGTCCGCTTATCCTACTTTCCGGAATACCTCCGGCTTGGATCAACGCAACCCCGCAAAATAATCATGCACCTCTGCTCATGATAAGCTATCTACATATCCCTTATCTATACTCATATTCAACATATACCGCACTGTACTCACTGTGTGTCATGCCTTTGAAAACGCAACTTCACGTGGAAGGCGGAAACTAATGCAATACATCTCCTTGTTAGGTGCAACAGACCTTACAAGGTGGAGGTTCATCTCGGAAACATCAATGGGATGTCCGAGTTTATCTTCAACCCGCTGGATTATCAATGAAACAAAATCGAGTCAGTAAAAATTGCCGTAGACCACCGCCCGCCGGCCAAAAATGAAACCCTGTACGAAATTTTATAAAATGACCCACCTGCAGAATATCCTTTAATGCCTTATCTGTTTCTAACTCTCTGGTAAAGCAATGACAATGGATCATGGGCATTTCCTCGTAGACCCCGCTTAAATTCCGACCGCCTGCTGAATCACCGCCATTTTCATCGCTTAATACTCCTCGGAATGCGTCAAGAAAAGTAATCGCAGAGTCCGGCAGATTCATCACAAAGTGTGAAATCCGCCGACGCTGCTCAGCTGGATTAGCAGTCACAGTAGAGGTGCCAGCAATTTCCGGGTTTCCTTGATCTGTTGCCAGTTTTTGTTGTTTCCTGCGTTCTCTCTCCTCTTGACTTCTACTCGGCTTCGGCCCTGTGTATGCGGGGAAAGGTTCGTCATACACGCGCAGCACACTGGATCGGATGAAGTCGCGTCCATCTTCGCATGACACGCGTACGAGGTCTGTAACCTACCAATAAGAAACGAAGGTCGCAATTCAGCTTGCTGTCAAGTGCCTGGACGAGGTAGATAGGGGAGAAAATATAGCTCACTCGATTGTCTTGGACGTTCTTGGTCAAGTATTTCGCGCTATTAGGATTTAGATCGTTGCCTAGCACAGCGCAACCTTTCCTCGCCGCCGGGACGGCGAAAGGTCCTACGCCCGCAAATACATCTACAACGACCTCTCCTGCCTTGAAGAGTGACACAAGTCGTTCATGTTCCGTGTGTAAACGTGAGTTCCAGTACACTTGTGTGAAATCGAATGTAAAGCGACAGTCAGACTCGTGCTAGCAAATCAGAGCATATGATTAAATGTCGAGTTGTTCATTCGGTATAGTGCTGGCAAGACGTACATGTTCAACGACGTATTCTGGTTCGCCAGCAATTAATTCCATCTTAAAAAATCGGAACTTGGTATCGATGCTGTCCAGTTTGTTGACCACTGTCCGGACGCGTTTGTTTTTCTGAAATGCCTCCGTGAGTACTAGGGAACCGGAGCAAATGAGTGGATCCTACATCCAATATGAGCTGGCCAATGATATGCTTATACGGCAAATATTCCTCGTTGAGATTGACGTGGGCTAAAATAAAAGTATATAGTCAGTTTAATATCGACCCTTCGCCATGTGTCCACATACCAATGTGTCCAGTCATAGCAAACCCTGTAGGTGACCCTTCACGCAACTCTTCAGGCAGGAAAGCCTGTAGGCATTCATCTAGTCGCCACGATGTTATCAACGGCTACAACGCGCAGAACTGAGTGAATACTCACCCGCTGTCCAGTAATCATAATCTAGATCGATCTCATAATTTACAAGTCCCTTCGACTCTCGATCCAAAAAGGCTTTGGCATCTGGTGAAATATCAGCTAGCTTACGTGTCTAATCAGCCGTTGTGCTCTCCAAAGAACGAAGAAAGAATGCAGGTGCATACACTTTTCAGAGACTCTCAAAAGCACCAATCGATCTCCATCTGGCTGAGAGGGATCGGACACAACGGTGCGCACTTTGGGCAGATCCATAAGACAGCTAATCCAACCGTCTGCGGTGTTAATAGTTTGACAGGAATGTACGCATGCAAGGACATACTTTCTCAGCTCATTGGCTTTCAGCAGTACTCGAGTCCGTTCTGGAGCTGTTTTTGCACCAATAACGCTCAACTTTTTGTGGAATAGTGATTTGTCAAGAGCATCTCGGGACCCGGTGTATGGTGGTGGTGAGGCATCCAAAAAAAGATGTCGTGACATAGCAATGCGAGTCCTCGACGTCGATGACAAGGTTCGTGCAAGAAACATAAAAACTGAAGCTGGAGTCGATCAAATGACAAAACCGTGTTTAGCGTCTGTTTTTGGCTCAGGGTTGCAAAAAGTTCGGATACGGGGAATCGAACCCCGAGCTGCCGCGAGACACTCAAATGATGAGAGGCGGCAATGTTAGCCGTTACACCATATCCGATTGATACAAACCACTGCTCGATGACCTACAGAAAGGGGATGAACATCCAATGAAGCCTCACGTCATTACTCTTGTGACCAAATGCATTTGCTACTTGTCCCACAACTTTCATGTCAAGCAATCTACCATCTAAAGCTATACTACGACATGTCGTTGATGTGCATTGTCACCCAACAGACGCACCAGAAGGCGTATCAGGAAGCGCCATGGAGGAGCTTGAGATGACCATCTGCGCAATGTCATCCATGTCATCCGATCAAGCGAAAGTGAAACGACTAGCGCTTGACTATCCAACCAAAGTTGTACCAGCGTTTGGCATGGTTTCTCTCTGATTTATGTAGGATAATTGTTCTCATTCTCTACGTGGTCAGAATAGGCTACCATCCTTGGTTCTCGCATCTCATATCATTAACGGAGAACGTGGGTAAAGAGGAGCATTATCGTTCTCTACTTCTCCCGCCCTCGAATGCAGATGCCTCCCTAGAATCAGAATTTAACAGCCTATTGCCCCATCTACCTGAGCCTCGGCCGCTGAAGGAGATCATAGCAGAAGTTCGCTCCAACTTAGAAGATATTCCGCAGGCTTTTGTTGGAGAAGTAGGCCTTGATCGCTCTTTCCGAGTCCCGTATGACTACCACGCAACCCCACGCGAACTTACTTCATTCGGAATTCCACTGCAACACCAACTCGCGATATTGGAAGCACAGATAGACCTCGCAATAGAGTTGGAACGGAATGTGAGTATTCATAGCGTCAAAAGCCAGCAGGCGACGGTCGACCTGCTCCAGAAAATGAAGAAGAAAGTTGGCGACGAAAAATTCCTCCGCATCAGCCTAGATTTACATAGTTGCGGTCTGAGTGCCCAGACGTGGCGAGATGTAGAGGCAAGTCAAAACCATTGACAAGTGGGGAATGCACTGACGCTTCTTTAGAAACGACACCCGAACGTGTTCCTTTCATTATCCTGTGTCATCAACAACAAACACTCCAACCACCGTGACTTGATTGCAATGTGTTCAGAGGACCGAATCCTGGTTGAGTCAGATTACAACACCGTAAACATGTGCACGCCGCAGACCTGGGAGATGGTGAAGATTGTTTCGGAGGTTAGAGGATGGCCGGTGGAGACTGAATGGGACGAGAGTCTGGAACATGACCAGAGCAATGCACAGTGGGGAGTGGTACGGCGATTGGAGAGGAACTGGTTTCGATTCCGAGACGGTCACCACAAAGCACCTGTGAAGAAGAACAGAAAACAACGAAACCAAGAGAAGCAGTACTACTATGACTCAAACGAAGAACAAGTGTAATTCGCATTATGAAATGACACGGAAGACTTTCAGTTTTCTTGCAAAGTGTAGTCATGAAAGCAGTGTGATTAGGAGCTAAAGCCCAATGGTATAAACATAAACAACAATATATAAGCTCACAAGTAAAGTCCTGGCCTTAACCAAAGACATAATGTAGAAGGATGAGGATGCAGGCTGCGATCACGACTCCCATTATCACAGCGTCTCGCCGTCTCCGCGTTTTGATCATAGAAATGACGTTGTTGATGCCAGGCATCGTTCCTATATGACTCATGATGAGTACAGGTGTATGTACATTATCATACTACATACCTAGCACTTGTACCATTCGTGTATTGATGCCTGCTAGCGAAGACCTCTGGCGAGAGAACTCGGAGCGAGTTTCATATGCTTGCCTGTCAATGACGTTTAGAGCTGAGTTAACTGAAAGATAAGCCTGCACATACTGAATCATATCATCTGTCATGCGATGCGAGCTGTCTATTCTCCCTCGCTCAGCAAGTAGAGAATCTGCTGCGGAAGACTTATACGCACTGTAGCACACAATGTTAGCAGAGCAGACCAATGTAGGAAAGGAGACAAAAACTAACTCGATATCGTTCCGCACTCCTGTTAGAAGGTTGGCCTGGTCAAATGCCGTCTTTACATTCGTCTACATGACAAGAGTTATTTAACAGAAGGACGAGTGAATACACTAGGCGCACCTTTGTCCGCTTCAACTCCCGCATGTTGTCCTGATACAGTTCCCTGTGACGCTGAATTGCACGCAGCATAGATGCCGACATTAAGTCAGGTGTACGCGCTAGTTCTGTTAATTGTTCGTTGATCTCTTCCAACTAGAGAAAGTAAATTATCCAGCGTTAGCAAGCTAATGAGTAGAGTACAGCTGCGAGACGACAAATTTGTAGTTGTAAATGAAACTCACCTTATTTGCTAGGTCATCTAATTCAGCTTCGAGATCTCTCCATCTTTCACCAGATCCAGTCGCCTCAACATCGTCATTTGCACCTGGTCCACCCCTTGATATGCTCGCGACAAGCTGCGAGTAGGTTGTGAGTTTAGCATCAAACAAGTTCTCGAGTGTTCTGCATTGGCGATGCAGTTGGTCGTAATTAGACATCGTTTAAAAGTCGTTATTGTTGAGTATGTAGCAACAAGTTCGTCTACAGGGACAGATGAAGTTAAAGAGTTAGGCACAGCGAAGGTGTTGACGTCGTTAAGTGGTTGAGGAGGCGCACGAGAGAGTTGCTCACCATTGTTTGCCGAGTCGGCATTTGCCGTTCAGCTCAATTGATAGCATTTTACTCTCACGGGTCATAATAGGGGTTCGAGCTCGAACCTCTGAAACTCATTGAGACAAGGTCATGTAAACTGCGCTCACCACTAATGCTCCCTCGACTGAGGCCCTTTCATAAATCTTCTCTTCCTTGCAACCGCTTATTTACCATTTTTCCGATGTCAACGGCCACTTCAGGATCCACACAAGTTCCTCAACAAAATCCCCAGATTAACCAAAGCGGACTAAACTCTGCGGGATTGAAGCCTGAAGAGTCCAAAAATCTCGCCGAAAGGCAGCCAGAGAAACACGAAGCGCCTATTTTTTTTGCAGTTCAAGAGGTAATCAATGTGATGTTTCGCAACCGCTCCCTTCGTGCTGACCATCATCACTTTCAAAGCTCTATAGTGGCAACGCTAGAGACGTAAATCGTTTGATGCCGCATCTTGAAGTTCTTCCTGCTTAATTTTTTATTTCTCTAGAGCACCTTCACCATATATAACAAGAATTCTTCCTTCCGCGACCCAATCAGTATTTCGGATGGCATCGATTCCATCCGCTCGCAATTCAGCGCTTTGAAGAAGGTTCTGAAGTTCCTATGACATTCCCTCGAGCAGTTCTTAACCACCCCACTACAGTTTTTTCCAAGAATCGACATTCTAAATTTCAGGTTGTTGAAAAACCCTAGTACCGTAGATCCGAAAACAATCCTCATCGACCAGGACGTCGCTTATTACACCAGCAAGACCGCTAACGAACCAACCAAAGTAGTCAATTCTTTGATTACACTTCGCCTCGATGAACGTAACAAAGTTAAATCACACATCGAAGATTGGGATCATAAGAAGAGCAGCACAGGTGACGACGGTTGGATGGGAAAGATAAACGAAATGAGGAAGAGGATAGCCGCCAATCTTACCGATACTTTCTTCCCTGACTTGCAGAAGATAGGCGCGGGTCCCCACAACTAATCAACGATTAGTATTCTCAAACGCTCTGCTGTGTCCTAATGTACAAATTATGTATTGATAGTAACCAATGCTTGTATTTATATATTTTCTTCGTTAGATATCTGATTCCATAGTCTTGACCTTCAGAAACCGAACCAGGACTTCGCAGACTGTTGCGCAGCTAAGCGCTTCGCCTAAGGATGGTGTTTGGTCAGAAGAGATGCAATAATCAGGTAGCACTAGAGCATTACCTGAGCGACCATATCCTTACTTCCTTCCTGTAAAGAATTGAATCTCTCTTCCAGGTCCCCAAGCATTTGGCTGGGTCGTATATGGAGTTGAGCTTGGGTGGAAATATAATGGTGAAGGTGACGTACCCTCTTTCGCTCAATGCAGACGTCAAGCGATCATAAAGACCTGTCTGCAAACCTGCTGCACCTGCAACAATTCCACCTGCAGGATTGCTACCTCCGCTTGGTGCCTCAGCCTCCTCAGAGGCTTGAGCATTACGATCGATGACTTTACGCTGCAATACTGGACGATTAGGACCACCCACTTAAAAACACGTTAGTCCAGATAATTATTATGGAGACGCTGAGGGCTTACATAGTTCATCGATTTGTGCACCGGACAACGTTTGATTGAATGTGAAAAATGAGCCTATGATGGAAGCAGGGCCAAGAGAAACGGGCTGTGGTTGCGCAGGTATCGTACCCCTCGTACATGCAAAATCAACATCGAGTTCATCGTAAACCCGGCGGAAGTCGAAGAATGTGCCATATATCGCCGAACTTATCCTGCGACGACCTTGGGCGTGAGGGTCAGCTATCCAGCAGATGTAGTCACCAGTTTCATCCATAGACAGTGGTCTATTGTTAAGGAAATTGGGTTAGCTTTAGAGCCAGAGGTATAAAGGCTTTTTCTTACAAAGGAGAAGGGTCCTCGAGTTTCAGGGTGTGCATATGTTCCAAGTGTGGCAAGGAGTATGTGTACAACTCGTTACGGTCTGTTTGTATCACCAAGGCATGAGATCCTGATATAACGACAATTAATCAAAGAAGAAACGAAGGGTTAATGGGAAGCATACCTAGACGTTCCGCGATTTGGGCACTTTCTATATCGCCATACCTTGGTGACCAATCCACTTTGGCAACTTTCTCCCCGTTGAGGGCAACCGCAGTCCTCATACCTCTCGACCCAACAGACAAGAGTATTGGGTTCGCGCCCTTTACTCCACTGGCTTGAACGTTGCGATAAGCCGCAGCTAGTTGCGAACGGTCTGACCTTATTGGTTCGCCAGTCTTACTGTCTATGACAAACAGTCCATCTTGCAAAGGGTTAACAACGCCTTTGCAATTCAGTGGATCACCAGTGACATTCCATACAGGAGGGGATCCACTGTGAGATATTGTGAAAATGATCATCTCGTCGGACGAACAGTTACACAGCAGCCTAATCGCTAT